CTGCGCCAGAGAGGAACTAGGAGCTTACAAACATTGATTAAGTAAACAAATGAGGTGTGAGCTGATGTGGCATTAGTGCTGACCCTTTTTAAAACTTTAAATTAACTGGGCACGGTGGGGCTTGCCTTTAGTCCCAGCATAGGAAAGCAAAGGGGCCACCTGCCCCTGTTAGTTCAAGGCCAGCCTAGTCTGGTATGGCAAGTTCCAGGTCAACCAAGAGCTACATGGTGAGACCCTGCCTCAAATAAAATAAAATAAAATAAAAAAATGAATGAATAAAGAAAAGCCCTTAAAGATAGCTAGATTTGGCTTCAAAATAATTTCTGTCTTTATATATGGCATGCCCATATCTACTTTAAATGCCTTATCTACTTTAATACGCTTTAAAATGATTTTAAACCACGTTTTAATACACGTCTCTAGAAGCCTTTACATTTGAGAGGAATACAGAGCTCTTCATTGCTGTTAAATATTTTTTGATGCCAACCTGGCCATTTAGAATCGGTGCTTGTCTGTTGTCTCGTGAGAGATGTGGTACATCTAGTAGTACCAGTGAGTGGCACATGTCGGAGACAAGCTTAGCTGCCCACATGCCATGACCTGAGCCCAGCTATTTCTCCCCTCTCCCTCCTTCTTCCTGCCTGAACCTGTAACGCAGGCAGAATAGCTTAGTGAACCTCTCCAAGCTGCTATGAGAAAGACAAATCAACACCAGTGAGACGCCTAAGGCAGCAGTGTTTGTGAAGCAAAATCCACCTGTGAACCGTCCACCCTAGTAGTGTCCGCCTCCAATAACAGTTACGGACACTGAAGGAGCTTGATGCGTGACCGAATCATTACTGTAGGAAGATCTCACGCCTGTCTTTCAAGGCTTGAGAAACAAGTGCACAGGAAGCCAGAGCATGCGTGATTGCAAGAAGCATGAATGGGACCTGTGAAGGAAGGATGTCTCCTAGCCATGAGACATAACTGAAACACCCCTGGTGACCAGGATTCCAGATGGACACCGAGTTTGCCAGGCAGGGTCTGAAGCAGCCCAGGGGGCAGAGGAGGCAGGCAGGCAGGGTGCAGAAGGCAAGCACCACAGGAGAGGTGGGCAGTGAGTGATGATGCCCATGGATCGAGCAGGGAGGCGGCGGGAGAGCCCGTGGCTGCTGGAGCCTTTTCCTCTAACTCTATTGCTGTGGCAGAGGTGGCCCTCATGCCTGTCTGTGAGCATGCTCTCCTTGGTGCGCATGCTCTCCCAGGCCTGCACGCTCCAGATTCCCCTTTGCTCCTGGCCGCTGCCCTTTGTCCCGAGAAGCTGCTACCCAGCTTTCTTGCCTTTGCTTTCCTTTGCAAGAATGGCTGTGTCTCACTGACAGGGTTTTCCTGGGAGGAAATGAGGAGGGGCAGAAGTTCCAGCTTCCCTCGGCTCTGTCAACAGGCGTTTGATGGTGACCGGGGCATGAGCTGGCATGCGTGCCCAGCTTCCTCCCTCCTGTTTTCTTTGGAATGTTCAAGAGTTATCAGTTCACAAGTAACAATGATCGTGGACCGGATCCTGCTAAGGATCCAGCACCCTTACGATTCTCTGGGTGTCTAAGTCCTTTCTGAGCCGCCAGGCTTTCTGTGAAAGATGCATCCTGGGTTGTAGGCTCAGGTTTTCAAACTTAGTCTGGTTTCACTGGTTTCATATGTAATGAAGGGGGTTCCTGCTCCGTGGAGCCCTGGCAAGTCAGGGCTGGCTACTGTGGCTACCAGTGGTCCTTATTCACAGGTTTATGGCAGAAAAAGCCATGGGAGAGTGGGCATGTTTGATGGTCTTTATTCACAGGTTTATGGCAGAAAAAGCCATGGGAGAGTCGGCATGTTTGATGTCACCTGTGTGTGATGCTGAACGCGAGAGCCAAGGAGATGGAGCACGTGGTCCTGACAGTTGCACCTCAGGTTGCATCTGAAACTTAATGGGTGTGTGACTACCATTCAGAACTTCCTTCCCAGAAGCTCACAGTAGGAGTTAGTTACTTCTCCATCCACCACATGGGTTCTGGGGTTCAAGAACTCAGGTCATCAGGCTTTGCGCCGAGCACCTTTACCCACACGGAGCCATCTCAGTGGCCCAGCTGTCATGGCTAAGTAAAGAGAGGTGATGGACACAGTGTAGGGAAACATAGCAAATACTAACAGTGGTGTTTATTACGGATTTAGTGTAAGAGTTTACAGAAGACTCATTCAAAATTTCTTTTGGGGGTAGACTGATGCTAACTCAGTCCTGATGCCTTCTGGTGGGTTCCGACTCACCGGCCAGTTTCTGCACAAATGAGGAGAGTCAGACCGCGGTGATGGTTGCTAAGCTGTGACCACGGGCGGCTTGGCTGAGTGAAATGGTCGAAGCCTCACCGTGTCCCGTGCAGTCAGCATTATTCCAGTTTCATAAGTAAACAGGGCCTCAAAGGGCAGGAAGACAAGGGCAGGGCTGGGGCCTCACGCCCTGGTCTCCGCAGCGGACTCACCCAGCACTCACAGTCTCTCTTCACCGTGTGTGCGTGCGTGCGTGCGCGTATGTGTGTGTGTGCTGTGTTTTTTTCCTCCAGCCTCATAACAGCCATGGGCATTCAGGATTGGTTGAACTTTGTTGTTTTGTTTCAGACAGGGTCTGTGTAGCCTAAGCCGGCTTTGAACCCTGAACTCCTGATATGCCTGCCTCTACCTCCCAAGTGTTGGGATCACAGGCATGAGCCACCATATGTGACTCTTTAACTCAAATTCAAGGTCCGACAAATGAATTCAAATCCGACTCACTTCTCTCGAACAGCCAGCCAACGTCTTCTGTTAGCCCATCATGGAATACGCACAGTGTACCATCATGTGAGTTTGGAGAACACAGAGTTAAAACCACTATACCAGGCTTCCATAGACTAGGACTCCTTTGGGTCTTTATTATGTTCATATGGACTCTGAATTTATAGGGAAAGAGGTTACACCAGTCTTTTTATGAGCTACGGGTTTATCCGCACAGCCACTCAGCTGTTTATTATGGCAGACTACCTCAAGGGATGAATGTTCCACAAACTAGCATTTTGGTAGTGTATCATCTTGGGTAAGTCGTTTACTCTCTTTGGGCCCAGTTGTCTATTCTCCATAGTGGCCTAAAGATATTCCCAAATTTCTTCAGTAACTGATAGCTCTATGATATAAACCTTGCCCCAAACCAGGTATTTGGGTTACCAAATGAGCTCCTAAAGGTAGTGTCCAAATGTCGGAAAGCCATTCCGTCATCACTCCTGGAGCATTCGACTGAGCAGGAGGACACAAATAAGGCTGTCCACTCACTGAGAGAACTGCATCTCAGCTGACAGGAGGCGAAGGCACAGCTCAGCAGCTGAGAGCATGTGATGCTCCTGCAGAGGATCTGAGTTCGGTTCCCAGCACCCACGACAGGCAGCTAACAACCACCATAACTTTAGCCCAAGAGGAATCGATGCCTCTGGCCTCCTCAGCCACATGCACTCTCTCTCTCTCTCTCTCTCTCTCTCTCTCTCTCTCTCTCTCTCTCTCTCTCTCTCACACACACACACACACACACACACACACACACACATCCCTAAGTAAGAGGAAAGTAGAAACCCTCATAAGGAAAAAAGACTCAGTGACAAGCTGCCTCCTTTTTGTGAGAGGTAGGCCCTTCCTCCAGCGCAGTGACCAGCTGGTCCCAGTGGTCTGCGTTTGTATAGCACAAGTGATACTCCTGGAGGAGGTGTGACCTGGCTGGCCGGCACTGCAGAATGTGCAGAATGTAAAGCCTTTCCGAGACACTGAAAGTGTCTTCACGTTATCGTGAAGCTTCTTTATACCGTGGCCTCGCCCCAAGGTCAGACTCCCATGCAGGCTTCCTCTGAGTGGAAGACTTACATTTTAGGACTCCACACTGTCACATGAGGGATCGAGGTTGTCAAATATTGTGAGTAAACGACGATTATATTTATAACATGGGCATCAAACCAGGCCCTTGTACATGATAGACAAGTGACAATTTTATTTTTTACTAGTTTAGTTGAACCTTACCTAGCCACAGAATGAAGCAGGTAGGAGACATCGTCTATCGTCACTGGTTTTAGTCTAGCTGGTTTTATTTTTGAAAGAAAATAACTGGTAACAACCAGTTTCAGTTAGAAAGTTGTTTCATTCTTTCTTTTAGGACTGGAGAGGTGGCTCAGTGGTTAAGAGCACTGGCCGCCCTTCCAGAGGACCTGGATTCAGTTCCCAGCACCCACATCACAACCACTTGTAACTTCAGCTCCAGGAGATCTAATGCCCTCTGCTGGCCTCCACTGGTACCTGCACATACACACACACACACACACACACACACACACACACACACACCTAAAAAAGAAAGTTTTAGTTAAACTAGTACAATAAAATACTGCCTCCCAAATTATTAAAATGAGTGTAGATGAATTTAAAAAATTATCAGTCTACCTCTTTGAGCTCCATATGTACTAGGTGTTTAAAATTGCAACATGGAGAAATAGCCCAGTGATTCAGAGGACTAGCTGCTCTTCCAGAGGACTCAGGTTTGATTCCCAGCGCCACTTTTGGTGGATCTGATGCCCTCTCTGGCCTCCATAGGCACCAGGCAATCAGGTGGCACACAGACATACATGTAGATGAAACACTCATACGTGTAAAATTTTAAAAATCAATAAAAAAATCCCGCCGAAACTATGCTGTCCCTCAAGCCAAGAAATTCACTCCTCACTCTCGCAGCTGTGACGGTGAATTGAACCACTTCCTGGGTGACCTCTCCATTTCTTTCCCTCTGAGCTGTTGTAGTAAGGGTCCTTTCTAGTGCTAAGGGTCGGGTGCAGAGCCAGCTCCACTCTACCTTCTCGGAAGCTGAAGGAGACACGGTCTGCAAGCACGCTAGGCAAAAGGTTCCAGGTGTCGGGGAGGCAGGTGACAGGAAGACAAGAAGGGAGGGTGAGTGACGAAGGGTGCGAGGGGGCATCTCTTACCAGGTTCTTGTTGTATTTTGTGGTTGTTTTTGAACCAAGTGATCCAAGGCTGAGGGACGCCGTGAGCTTGACAGTCTAAGGTCGCAGAGCCGCTGATGGGCACCTTGGAGTCGCTGAGGTTCCGCAGCAGGTGTGGGGCCTCCTGATCTAGTGAGGAAAAAGAGGGGGCTGTGGTTACTTTGATTGCACAAACAGACTGGCATTTTAATAGAGACAGAAACCACCCAAGGCGACCCTAAGATTTCAACACGCATTTGTCCTCTTTCTCTTCACTCATTAAAGCTATTGCTTCCCTTTTTGCAATGTGCTAGAATGGTTAAGTCAGGACTATGCCGAACTCTATATTTCTAGATATTAATACACGGGCTTTGACTGGCCAACTCATTTTCTTCTTTGACAAGGAAAAGCTTTTCTAGAACTCAAATATTTCATGCATTTTAGGAACTAAATATGAAAAACATGGTTGTGTATGTAGGGTTATAATACTTTTTTAACATTTCTATTACATGTTTTGATGGGCCAATGTAATCTTATGTCTTATGTCTGATCTCTGAATTGAACCGATGGCCCCTGAGTTTGTGTTGATTTGAGTTTTGTGGGGTGGGTTGTGTTATTCCATAACCTACATTTCGAGGCAGCAGACCAAACAGGAAGATTCTGAAATTTTCAAAGCTTTATTGATTACTCCTCCCCCTCCATCCCCTCCCCAAATGCAAGCAACCAAAAAGTTAATTCAAGAGGCAGAGGCACAAATTGTAGGTTTTGCACTATATAATAGCACAAATATTGTATTTTATATTATTTTCTCTTGAAACATACAAATATGGTACAATACAATTTATTTTAATAAAATGCCAACCAATATAGTACAACAAAAATGAACTTAATACATTAAGATGCAATACATTATAATATTAAAATCCCACATAGGAACCGCAGTACCCCCAGGGCCCCAAATGAGTATACAGTGTCTCTGCGTAAATGAAGTAGTCAGTCAGTCCTGCTGATGTGTATACATTCTAGTGGGGCAGGATGGATTAGAGCTCAAACCCAACAGAGAAGAACAGAAATGCCTCCTAACGTCCCCCCCACCCACCCCCCACCCCCCACCCTACCCCCACTCCTTCCCCATCCATCTCATTTGCAAATCTTAGGACAGAAACTCCAAGAAAGGGTTTGGGCATGACTTACTTATTCTGCACACTGGTCTGAGCTTTCTCTGACCAGGTTTGGTTCCTCATCTTAGGGCATTAACACGGGGAGAGAGCAGCTTAGGAACGGGTACACTACAGAGTGATGCTGTGGCCTGGATTCCACGTCCCTTGCAGGAGTCTGCTGGTCCCCAACACCTTTCTCTTTAAATTCCTGCAGGAAGACTCTCAGGGTGAGCATTCGTTAAGGCCATTTTGAAAGCCCAGGTTAAGAAGTGTATCATCATATAAGGTGGTGAAGGTTTCTCAAGGGACATGGTTTTCACAGCTTATCACCAGTCTTGTTTGACATAAAATGCAGTCTGAAGGCAAGAGCATTGAAGGAAGTGCTGGTTGATTAAAAACCTTCTTCCTGAGCAGGCTGCATGGTCACAACTGCTCTTGTCCTTGCCCGTTTCCAGTGTCTCCCCCTAGCTCCCCTCACAGGGGAGCTCCCCTTACTGCATTTCTGTGCCCATGTTCTATGCAAACGGTCAGCTTTTCTTGATGGAAAATGCAGCCCACAGAAACTGTCAATGTATGATAACCTGTGCACGCTTGCTCGTGACAATGTTGACATTTTTACAAAACACCAGGGAGATAGACAAGATAATATAGAATGCATGACTAATTAGCATTTAAGAGTGCCCTGCTGATTTTGCCAGATTGAACCTAAAACTCAGACCCAGTCCATTGAGTTACTTAGCTTCCTTCAGTGCATTTTACAATTACCAACGTGTCAACTATGACAAAACAATCTATCACTGCTTGTAGGCCTTAAAAGAAGTTTGAATACAGGGCCTATAAAACACCAATTATTTATAGCTACCGTTTATAATATCATCTGTACAAATAGGTTTTGAGTCTCCCTGACGGATGTACTTAAAAGAGAATGTTTTAACAAAAATGTTGCAAAGAACACCCAAAGGGCCCATTTGTATGATACAGACTTCACAGAAGCAGCATGCAAAGCTGCAGAATTAACACAGAACTTTCCATTTAAATACAAGGTCCTCCCTCACACCCCTTCTGAAGCATGCACTATAAGGATTTACCTAGGAAAAATGTTTTCTCGGGTTGGGCTACTGTCTGCAAGGCGGTTCAACCTGACAATCGTATCTTGTTAATTCTACCTCATAGTTTGTAACAATGTATTTTGACATTTTAAGGAAGAAAGGTACACGAAACCCATACATAGTTGGTAGAAATAGAAATCTGACCCCTCTACTAAAATAATCTGAATTAACAAAATATTTTTGCTGGTTATCAGTATCCAGAGACCACTGCCTACAAGAGGTCCTTTTCCTTTTTAGGTATGACCCTGAATTGCTGGCAAGGTCCTAGGTCCCTAAAGAAATGTTTCTTTTCTCTGCTTTCGGGAGGGGTTGAGGAGCCAGCCTCATCCCCCCCCTACCCTCCAGCTAGTCTCGTCTCTAGGTTCTCTCTCTCTCTCTCACCCTCATCTCTCTTCATCCCCCAAAGGACAAAAAAGAATCTATACAATAGTTTCTTTTCTTAGAAGAATCTTCTGGAAAGATTAATTATACAATAATGAATGGAATTCTTAAAATTGTCTCTTGGAATACTGTCTTCCCCTCCTCATGGGGAAGGAACTGGAAGGCTTTGCATGTTCAGTTCAGCTTTTCTGAGAAGTCTCCCTAAATCCTTCTTTTCTTTTCTTTTCTTTTTTCTTTAAGCTTTCCTAAAAGCTGGGCCCCCGAAGTTTTCTTAATGGTGCTGGAGTTTTGTTTCCTGAAGGAACACATTGCCTCAGAAGGAAACAAAGAGACCAGGCCAAAGAGCCATAGGTAAGACTTCAAGACACAATTGATAATTCTTTCCTCTGGGCTGACAACTTCCAGGCTACTGATTGTTTTCACAGCATTTGGGGCTCCATAAAACTGGCATTTGGGGGAAATGCTATTGTTTACTCTTTCACATGTGACAAAAGCAATTCCCACGTGAAAGACAAGTTTAGCCCTGGGACCCGGTCTGTTACCTAAAGGAGGAAACAGGCTGGTGAGTTCCCAAGCTTGAAGAGTCACCATATTGTCACCTCCCACTGGACTGCCCGGTCACTGTTTCTCAGCCACGCTATTTTGGTCATGATTGCTGGCTTCCCCCACCCCTAGAGTTCACATACAAAGATCAATCATACATGGAAACAAAACAATGCATATTAAAAGTACCTTTCCTTCAAATGCAAGTTGAAAATGTAATTGCTCTTGATTTTTTAAAAAAGACATGCATTTAAATAGTTTTAATACTTTTGCAATTTCTTAACCCCCATAAACATCCCATTAACATTTGCATGTAGAGAAGGTGGCCTTTTCTTTTTTTAATGAGTGGATTTTCTAATAGATATTTAGAAAGAAGACTGCATGAAATCTCTAGTCACAATATTTCCTGGATACATGGATGTGGACACCTTTGAATGCCATCGAAGCATGATGAAGGGCTTTAAAACGGTACCCAGGGGCCGTGAGTGTTCAGAACGAAGGCTTGCTCTACTTCCCCCAGCTGTCAGGGGTTGTCAGGCCAGGCCAGGGCAGTGAGGAACATTGCCTGAGCGCTGGACTCCCTACTGAGGAAACAGCGGTGTAATTACCTGGAGTGGACAGAGGAGGGTGGAGCTGCCTTGGTAGACCTTCATAAATCACACTGGGACAAAGCTTTGCTCTTGGAATTACATCAACGTCTTGCGCCCCTGGGACCCGTCTTAGAACCCCCAGTTTCAGATCAATATACTTCATGTAAAAAAAAATACTTTCAAATAAATAAGCATCATAACTTGTTATCCAGGTACTATTTACAAATCAAGAGCCAATGAAACAGTTAAAATAAAACCAGGTAGACACCCGACAAAGACTCAGATTCAACTGTACTCATCCTGTGCTGAAAAATGAACTTATTCGTGTCCATCTTTGGCAGAAACCAGTGTTTGCTTAAATTATTCAGTTTGTGCAGCTTCACAACTTAAAAAATATATATATCAAAAGAGGTTGGCATCAGAGTGGAATAAAAGGCGAGTCCCAGGTTGCTGTCTATCAGGCAGGAGAAGACAGAAGAGCGAACACATAGCGGAGGCAGGGTACAAGGGTCTTCATCCAAACACACACCAGGTCGCCCAGAGAGCACCCCGGCCAGTGAGCACTGGGGCTCCTTATTACACTATCATGTCCAAACTCATTTTGAGAGGAGCCTCTCCTCTGGGCCTGAAAGTTAGCAACAGTAACAATAAACCAAGATGATAGGAGACAACTGTTACTTTTCAATGAGTCCTTTAATGTTTGACATTACTTTGTGTGGTACAATCATTCCTCCTGCTTTTAAATTTGGAGATCCGAGAGAAAATAGCCTTTTTGTTGCAGTGCTCACCTCTAATGAGAACTTCTGTCTTCCGAAGGATTTCTTCCCCTGTGTACATGTTCCTGGCTCTGCAGGCATAGGTGCCCGAATCTTCCAGGGACACATTCTTGATGACAAGGTTCAGAGTGATGGAGTACTCTTGAGTGGTGGCCATTTTCTGCTTGCTGATGCTGTGATGCATTGTTCTGTTGTTTACTGTCCGTAGCAGGATCCAGGTAATGTCTCTGTACAGGAACTTGTTGACCATGCAGGAGAGTTTCAGGTCCTCTCCTTCTGTTGGCATCTTTTCCAAGGAAACGTGAAAGCCATTCGGTACATCTATAAAATAAGAACGAAGAACTTCAGACCAATGTCTCCCAATGAGATACTCAGACACAGCAAGAGGGAACTATTCATTCCCCCCTCCGCAGATCCGCTGAGCGAAAGCATCAGCCAGGACAACGGCTCTGTGTGTCTGTTAGAGGAAGTGATCAAACAAAGCAGGGAGAGAGCCTGTGGAGTTGAGCCCATCCTAAGTGACGCAGGAAATGCGAAACCTTTTCCTTTTTTCCTTAGCTGCTGCTTTTCATGGTGAAATGGTTTTCCTAACTTGGATTAAGAACCTCATTCCCCTTCCCTTGATCACATGCAGTACCGGTAAGCTGACATTCGAGGAGAGTAAAATGATAAAATCACTGAAGAGCAATTTGTACTAAGACTCAAAGGTCCGTGTGCAGCCAAGCTGGTTCCAAACAGTTCCTTTCAACGGAGCATGGAAAGGCTGGTCAGAGTCGGTCAGAGCAGGTCGGCCAGTCCTTCAGGGACTGCCCGTACTTCCCAGTGGCTTCCTCCCTACAGCTTCTGAATAGAGAGAGACCCAAGCCTCTCGACTAGTCCAGGGGGCCAGAGGTCACCCAGGGTTCTCCCCACTCAGGCCCCTCTAGTGGGAACAGTTGTACTCATGCACAAAAAGTTTTCTTTTGAAAATGTAGGCAAATCTGGACCGCTTTCCAGATTCCAAACATGTTTAATAGTTTTAAAAGTCAAATTTAGGGCTGGGAGCGTATCTCAGCGGCATAGAATTTGTCTAGTTAGGATGCACGAGTTTCTGGGTTTAATACCCAGCACCCCAAGGCAGGGAGGTCATATTTATTCTAAAGAAAAAAAATCATTCTGAGGAGTGGGGTGTGGGGGTGTGCACCTGTCATCCCAGCACTCGGGAGGTAGAGACAGGAGGACCACGAGTTCAAGGCCATCCTCGGCTGTACAGGAAGTTTGAAGAGGGCCAGGGCTACTGGAGACAGTCTCAGAAACAACACTAAATGGTTTTGAAGGTAACGGCGTCAGCCAAAGCCTTCTGTTGGGGATCAGTTCTCACCCTCCCTCTGCATTTCCTCAGGCCCTCCCCATTCCACGCCAGCCTGGACACCCCACCTCCTAGTAGTCCTCCCAGAACCATCATTTGAGTTTAGGGGTATAGGCTCCTTTGTTCCATTCTAGAACATTCATTGCAGGGTTTTAAAAATCATGGCTACTGGCCCTGAACTGACGTATTCTCAATACTCTCCCGTTGCTTGTTACTGGTGATGTATCTATATTTGAGCAAAGAATTTGGGCCAACATTTTACAAAGAGCTTTGAAGATGAAAAGAGCTGTTGTCTGTTGTTATTATTATCCTCCGTACACAAAGCTCTAAAGAGGCCTTTAAACCTTAAGGGGACAATGGTCCAAAATTAGACATCATATCAGCTCTCTCCTAAATCTCACGTTGCTTGTTTTTCTGGGTTTTCTGGCTTTGGCTGTGTTATAAAATGTCTCGTCTGAAGAAATGCCAAAGTATTCATCTGAAACCTGGAAGCAGGGGGCAACAGCAGCCTGTGAGGTGGTGGTGGCTGAGGAGCAAGGAGCAGAGGGGACGCTCTTGCAGAGGATGTGACAGCAGCCATGGACAGGCATTTCTAACCAAACAGTAAGTAAGGTATCTGCTCTCCTTCAGTGTCGTTTTACGTTCTTCCAGGTGAGAAGGACACATTTGCTGTCATCAGCCACCCAGATCTGAGGACAGAGGGCAGCCCCCAGGCTGCTCACAGTCCGGTCCCTAAGAGCAGAGCCCTTCTCCACCCCTGGGCACTCATCCTGGCCGGTGGGCACCCAGGGATGCCGGCCACACCACTGAGGTCACGCACGGAGACTCTATTTACTTTAGCGATTTGAAACTTCCGGTGGAAATAGCTCACAGGTTTCCTGATGGAAGATTTTGTTTATCTTTGCCAAGCACCACCAGGAATCTCAAAATAAAATGCATTTAGTGACATCGGGAAACGAGGGAGATAAGACATCGCCATTCCGGTTTCACCCTGGGTGACGGCTCACACACCCATACTCACACCGGGTGCCAGAAAAAAAAAAAAGCATGCAAAATTCACCCAGAGAAGAGGAGACAAACAAACAATAAACAAACAACCTAAAAAAAAAACAACAACCATTTTCTGGGGTGGAGATGCAGTTAGCAAAGCCATCTGACAGCTCTGTTTCTCAATGTAACCCCCTTCAGGATTTGCTTTTGATTCACAGAAGACTGTAGACAAATATCTTTGTTTAATAAACCCAGAGGGACCTTCTCCTTAATTATTTTTTTTAAGCCTGAGTATAAAAATGGACCCAAGAAAGGGTTGTTTTCCTGCTCTGCTGAGAATAGAGAATGATTCCTCCCTAAGACAACTACCTCATCACCAAATAACACCCCTCAGTTGGTTGGGGCCCACCCAGTCTCCTGAGGGGTCCAGGAGAGAAGCCAGCCTCACTCTGGAGGCACAGGCCATCTCTTGTAGGCAGAACACATCATGCGCAAATGGGCCCCTGGGGGCAGCAGGTGCTGTCCCCTGACTGGGGTGGCCTCACAGGGTGAGTGTGAGCTCACTGGGAACACTGGACATTTCCCTTCCACTGAAAACCGGCAGGAATAGTCCCTGAAGGAACACGGATGGTTACTAGGAAGCTTTCCTTAGTTTCTAGGTACCAGGTACGAGTGCCAGAGTTAGGAGGGGACATGGCCAAGGATGCCAATGACCGCAGCTCGCTGCTTCCCCACGGAGGAAGGGGAAGTTACCGTGTTAAAGAAGAGGGGGAGAATTAAAGCGAGAACTAACAAGGCGCCAAATCGATCTTAACGACATTCAAAGTTTCCACAGCCTCTTCAGGGGTCGGGGAGCCTAGGGATTGAACTCAGGGTCGCCTCTGTGATATTAGGGGGAGGGGGTCTGCCACCGAGGTCACTGTGTAAGTTACGGCTGTAGGTTCTAGGCCTGTCTGGTTTACATATGAGTTCCTGGATACATGGATACATAGTGAGCCCCAATCTTAAAAAAAATAAAATAAAAAAACGAGAACCAGGCGGCGGCACGCACACTTTTAACCCCAGCACTCGGGAGGCAGAGGCAGGTGGATCTCTGTGAGTTCGAGGCCAGCCTGGTCTACAGAGTGAGTTCCAGGCCAGCCAGGACTGTTTCACAGAGAGACCCTGTCTCGAAAAAACCAAAAATAGATAGATAAACAAACAAATAAATAAATATTTGGAACAAATATTTGATATGAAAAATATAATAATCAGCTAAGAGCTAATAGTGAATGTAAGCGGTTCAAGCTCATCAGGCCTCACATACACTTTCCAGGGCTGGAAGAAGAGAGCTCTGGGGGGCAGGCCTACCCTAGACGACAAAGCCTAGGTTATGGGCTGTTTCAGGCTGAAGTTAGGGTTCCTGGGTTTTCAGAAGTGCTGTCAGCTCCCTCCATGTCTTTCGCCTCCACTCAGGAGGCCCTCTTCTAGAACAAGCAGTCCAATGTAAGCCAGAAGTGTCCCTCCCTGGGTCTCTAGGTGGTCTGTGTAGGTTGGACTCCTCCTTATCACGTGAAACATCTATGGGCCAAAGGCATGTGCCTAGCCTGAGCCTATCTACTCTAGGTAATGCTCAAGGAAGGGCCTTGTGGAGGGAGGGGTCTCAGAATTCCCCGAAGAAGACAGAGGGTTCCCAAGTGTGCCTCTACACGGGCTCAGTCTCTTCCTGGACCAGAGGACCAGCCTCCTCAGCCTTATCATTCATCAGTGTTCTCACCGCTGGGTCAGCATACAGGAAGTGACCCAAAGGAAGACTCAGTGAGGGGTCGGGGAGCAGACATGGATGCGTCCAGGCCCCCACCCACAGCCGTGGAGTGAGAGGCGAGCCAGGCAGGCTACAGCCTGCTCAGCCGCCCTGAAGAGCCCCAGGACTCCAAGCCTAGCCTGGCCTTGAGGTCCCCATGAAGGTACAAGTGTCTCTAAGAAGTCAGAACATATGGAAAGGTTGGTGGAATGATTTTAGACCGTAGCTAATGGAGGGTCTGTGGCTCCCAGTGACACTCTACTTTGGCTTTGAACACACAGGGGGGAGCCCAGCCTCCCCCGTCTCTCTGTTCAGTCTCCCCCAGCCTGCTGCTGCTCCTCATGCTCTGTTTTCTTTATCAGAGGCTTAGAGCTGACAGTACAACATAAACCCTTCTAGCTACACACGGCTTTGTTAGAGCTGACAGTACAACACGGAACCCTTTCAGCCACACATGACTCTGGACGACAGGCTAATGGTTTGTGTGAGTGAAAGCCTGAATTTTATCCCACTTATTTTAAACTGATTAAAATTTAATCGGAGCAGTGGGGTGAGAGTGCATGCGTGTATGTGTGTGTGTGTACGTGTGTATCTGTCTGTCTGTCTGTGTTCTTTGTTTTTCTCTTGAACACAGGGCTGTGGCATAGCTCACTGGTGAAACATCTGTGTGAGGTCTTAGGTTCAACCACCAGGAAGACCATCCCCGAAATGTTGACTACATATTAAAAATAGAATATAGTATTTTAGATACACTGGCTTAAATAAAGTCATTGTTTTTCTTTTTGTTTTTAATGGGGGTTGTTTTGGGACATGGTTTCTCAGTTTATCCCTGGCTGTCCTGGAACTTGTCCTGTAGACCAGCTTGGCCTCCACCTCAGAGATCCGCCTGCCTCTGCCTCCCAAGTGCTGAGATTAAAGGCGAGCGCCACCACCTCCCAGACTCTAAACGTTTTCCTACAGAATAAGTGAACACTAGAAAATTTTTTAAAACATTTCATTTCTTTCTATTTTATGTGTATATATGTCTGTGGATATGCACATATGTGTGCAGTTGTCATGGAGGCCAGGAAGAGGAAATGGAATCACCTAGAAGTGGAGTCTCAGGCAGTTGTGAGCTCCTGATGTGGTGCTGGGTGGGAACCGAACCCAAGTCTCCTGCAAGAGCACAAGTCCTCTTCCCCACTAAAAGCCATTTCCGCAGCCCCCGGAAGAGTGTTAAGTTACAGATGTGCCTTCCATCTGCCGGACAGCGGTGATCCCAGAGGGCAAACGCAGACAGCACATTACTGCTGCTGATGCATAGCGATTCTAGGACATGCACAAGCTGATACATGGCCTCCTTCTTCCTGGGAGTGTGTCTGTCTGTCTGTCTGTCTGTCTGTCTGTCTGTGTTCTTTGTTTCTCTCTTGAACACAGGGCTGTGGGCATAGCTCAGTGGTAAAGCATCTGTGTGACGTCAGACCTGGGTCTGAGCTGACATGTCAGGCAGGCTGACATGGGCCGCTCCTCAGTGAGTGCTGTCAACCATGGCAGCTAGTCGACTGCTCAACACAGATGTGCGGAAAGTTCCAAACAGAAGGCCTTGTCCCGTCTCCCATCTTCCCAACCACACATGCTTGGACTACGGATTCAGACTGTAAAAACCTGTTTCCAGCTAACCACAAGAACAGTGCAAACCTTTGCGTTTAGTTCGTCCGAAGGGCCTGAATTTACTCGCAGACTAATTTGAGTGAAATCTTTGTAAGAATCCTTCCCCAGCAAAGGCCTTTCCTGCTGGGAGTGGACACAAAGGATCCACACCTTTCTGTCCCTGTAAGGTGAGAAGGTGGGAAGCAGGCCTCGGTCTAGGGGGGCTTTGCTGTGGCATTCTCTCTCCAGGAAATGCAGGGGCACTGTCCAGATCTGACCTATGAGAATGACCTTCGGGGTGTCTCCATGGCCTAAATTCCTGAGGGTTTGGCTCACTGGTCACTGGCTCCTGTCATTAAACAACCCAAACTGTCTCACGAAATTAGTCCTGCTTAGTTCTTTCTGGAGACTTCTAGGCAGTGTCAGCAGCCTGCTCCATGCAGTGTGAAGTTTCCAGAGGGTTGGCAGACTGCCCGGGTTTCCTCAGAAATTGGGGGAGCGTAGAGCCAGGCAATTGTTTTGAGACTCTGAGTTTACTTATTTCCTTCCTGACGCCGTGGAGGGACACAGGGAGTGCCACTCATGTACCTTGCAGGCTTTAAGATTTGCAGAGACCATCAGGTTTAAAATTAAAAAATCCCTAAATGCTGAAAAAAATAGCCCATTAATCACAAGGAAGAAAGCTCGCTTTGGGATTTTGACAGGAGTGTCTCAGTCCCCCAAAGGTCTGAACTACTTCAACTATGAACTTCTCAGTTAAAAAAAGCCCCACAAAACCAAAAACAAAAAAACCCAAAACAAAATAAAACAAAACAAAATAATAATCCCTCCTCCCAAAAACCAAACAACAACAACAAAAACTTCTAACCTCGGGGGCTGGAGAGATGGCTCAGCGGTTAGGAGCACTGGCTGCTCTTCCAAAGGACCCGGGTTCAATTCCCAGCACCCACATGGCAGCTCACTGTCTGTAACTCAAACTCCAGTGGATCTGATACCCTCACACAGACATGCAAATACCAGCACACATAAAAATTAAAATAAATAAATAAATAAATATTACTTAAAAAAAAAAAAAACACCTCTTCCCTCACAAGGGCTGGTGGTGAGCCAGGTGTCAGACCCAGCAGTAGGTCCCGAAGGGGTTCCAAAAGTGGGCATATAGGACCCCAAATTTAGAATCCAGTGTAGGAAAGAGACACAGATACAACTGAGAGAGAATTTGGGGAAGTGGCTCCTTGGAGAAGCCAACGCTGCTGTGGAATTCTCTTCCTGAGGGCAGGGATGGGGGTGCTTGCTCATGGCTTGACGCATCTACAGAATGTTAAAAATAATCACCAAGGGCATTGAAAGCAAGGAGGGCGGAAGAGAGACTGAGGCCGCCTAGTCTCTCTGTAGGTGGAGTCAAGTATGGCTTACCTGTGACGTAAAATTTTATGTTTCTTTCCACAGTCCCTATTTTGTTGAAGGCCTTGCAGCTGTAGATTCCAGAAGCTCTCGAGTCAGCCACCACCAGGGTGCTAACCGTCTGGAAAAGAGAGACGAAGTTTAGCCAGGGGACAGAGAGCTTTCGGAACAGCCCCAAGCAACCGGGCTGGCGTGATTCAGCTCTTCCATTCACGTAGGCTTTAAAGAGGGCATTGCAGGCAGGCGTGGTAGCCACCCTGGAGCTCTCTGCTTGTGGAGCCCCAGCACGAACAGAAAAATAACAGGAAAGCAGGTCCTCAGGAGACCGGAGCCCATGACATCCGACTCTGGGTTTCAGGCTTATCTCAGTCTGCTGGCATAACAATCAGAGACCTGACGCTGAGGTGTGGGATTGCACGTCCCACCACGAGGTGGTCAGTTCCCATCTGTGAGGGGAACAGGTGAGGCCCAGGCCTTTCCTTGTTTGGGTGACCCGAAAGCATGGGTGCCAGCTGGTCACAGGAGGCGTTTGTGTGGGCGTGTGACGTGGGCATGACAGAAGAAGGAAAGGTGGTTCAGCTATTTCTCATCGATGCTCAAGGGTGTGGTCTGCAGCCCCCGTTGTCTTGAAGGAGACAGGAAGCTGAGACGCTAAGACAGTTGTGTGTGTGTGTGTGTGTGTGTGTGTGTGTGTGTGTGTGTGTGTGTGTGTGTTTGCAGATTATACATTCTCAGTCTACAAAAACAAAGATATAAACTGACATTTTCACACTGTGATTTAGCAGGACTGTCCCCAGGCAGTGGTCAAGTTGATAGTAACTTGAAAGTACTTTTCAAACTAAATGATGTCTACTATCATAGTGAGGTGAAAATTTAGACAGCTTAAAGACATCCACTGTTTCCTTTAAAGGAAGAAATTGGAAATATGGGCAGACTGCTACCATTCTACCAATAGGTAGTGAAAAAAAAATTTTAAGGTACTTTTTAATACTTCAGATTATAAACAAACACACAAAAATTGATCCAGTTACTTAGAAGTCGTGGCCTGTGCCCTAGACTGGTCATGGGCTGCAGGACTGTGGTGCTGTTCTGAGGATTCTAGATGAGTTAGATATCCTGATGTCCTCATAGGGCTGATGAAAAAGACCACGCCACATGAGTCTCAGGCACTCTCCTGAGCGAGTGTTCCCATAAGCGACTGGTTTTGGAGAAGGTTCTTAACATTCTCTGAGTGGTTTAAGCAACACGGTGGGCACTTTATGTGTGGTCTCTGAACTCCTCTAAGAAATTAAGGCACTGTTTAAATCTACAGACCAAGAAGACTAAAAACAAGGGCTGGAGAGATGGCTCAGTGGTTAAGAGCACTTGTTGCCTTGCAGAGGACCTGGGTTCAGTTCCCAGCACCCAATGGCGGCCATTAGTAACTCCGGTTCCAGGGATTCTGACACCTTCTTCTGGCTTTTGTGAATACCAGACATGTATGTGGTGCACATACACACATGCAAGCAGAACACTTCTTACACATAAAATACAGTAAGCAAATCTGAAAAGAAGACTACAAGTATGCTCTGTGTTTTCAGCCAGTGAACTCCTTTCTCCATTTCCCCCAATGTTTTCCTGATTGTTGGATGTATCCACTTAATCACATCCACGCACAGATCCTCTGTGTGTTATAGAAATTCTATATAATGAAGAGGGTGGAAATAGGTGATTTTTTTTGGACATTAACCACGGGGCTGTAAAGGCATGGCCAGGGTGTCAATAGGAAGACAGAGAGGGTACAGCAATTTCCACGGCCAACGACTTTTAAAAGTGTTTGGAACCATTCACTACGTCAGGTTCCGATAAATGCTTTCTCTTTCGCAGAGCGGGAGGCCAGTACAGAAGAGTCTGAAAAGAAAGTTCAGCTGTCTCTTTCTTTATTTTGACTGTTCATTTTAATGGAGCGTGGGAGCTGATGAGTTCTGATGGCCACCTTCTTAATTATTATCCATACTAACAAGAGCGATGGAAGACGTGGAAAGCTGTCATAGGACAAGCTTGGCTTGCTGGGGGGTGGGGGAGGCACTGTGAGGGGAACCATTAGCTGGTGGCAGCTGGAAGGACAAAGAGATGACCAAATACATTGCAAGCCCCTGTGTGGTCTTGGGAGTCCGGGCTCTGGCATGTCCAAGCTCTTCACAGGATGATCAGAACCGAGTGGCTGAACTAAGAGGCCTTCCTCTCTTGAGGCTAGCATAAGGCCAACTTTCTTATGAAGTAAGCTCTGACTGTTAATCCTCAAGGACCCACGTAGACTTATTTAAATTCTTGGATTTACTGTTGTCCAGTAAGTAAGCAGAAGCCCATGTCTGCTGGCTTGAGACTGACATTTCAGACAGTCGCTAACTGCCTCTGTAAGTCCTATTGGTGCTGTTGTTAAAATGACTTTAATTTTGCTGAATTCAGAGCAACCGAGGAGGTATGTTTTGTGGCAAGGGGAAGTCAACCTTCATGTGTGTACTTGCCACGTTTAGGAGCTGCACACAGGGTAGCTGGAGGGATGGCTCAGTGGTGTGAGCACTTGTTCTTGCAGAGGATCAGGGTTTGATTCCCAGCACCCACACGGTGGCTCAAAATGGTCTGCAACTTCAGGTCCGGGGGATCTGATGCCCTCATCTGGCCTCCATGGGCACCAGGCATGCACATGGTGTACAGACATATGTATGCACAAAACACTCATACACATAAAGTCAAACAAACAAACAAACAAACAAGCCTGCCCAGATTGTCTGGGGTTGGTTGCAACCATCTCAGATGGATATGTCAGACTTTTCCGTGTAATCGGAGAATGAAGCTGAGCTGCCCAGGAGTGATATGAATCCATGTCGTATGGTTTATCATGGAGAAGCAAATATAGTTCAAATATTCTTTTTCTTTGCTTGAATGATGCCTTCCAAAAAAAGGCACCTTATACACAGGAAGGCATCCCCCCAAAACTGAACCTCACCATGGTTTCTGTTAAAGTTGAAATGATGTTGGCAGGAGTGATTATTATTTCTCTGGGGGGGGGTCTTCATGTTGCCATGGATACGTACTGGACAGCATTATCTCATTTAATCTTAGCCCTATGAGATGGGGACACCAGTCTGTTAGACAAATAAGGCAATCAAGGCTTCTAGGGGCTAAATGAAGAACCCCAAGACGCCAGAGGCCACAGACAGGCCTGGGAAGAGCTGGCCTGATGTGCAGAATCCCAGAGCCCACACTCTGATCTGTGATCACCCATCCACCCAAACTCATAACACCGAGTAACAAAAGCTGTCGACAAGGGTCTTTGAAACCATTTGAAATGGATCTTCCTTGAAAGCAGCCCCTTTAATCCACGGCCATCGGTGACAGGAGCTAAATGCTGCTTTCCTTCTGGGATAGAATTTCACACAAATCGAAAACTTATTTTTAAATGTATGATTTGAAATGATTGGTGAATGAGAAGGTTCTAACTGGAGAAAAAACTTTTTACCATAAAGTGAAATGTAAGATTTATGATAAACTTTACTAAAAGTCACTTTGCTTCTAGAATACTCTTTTTCTAGCAAATATGTTTTAAAGTTATAAAACTAAATATCTTTTCATATAACATCAAAGATATCGGCCAGGCGTGGTGGTGCACACGCTTTTAGTCCCAGGGACAGGAGGCAGAGGCAAGTGGATCTCTGTGGGTTGGAGGCCAGCCTGGTCTACATGTTGAGGCAGGCCAGCCAGGGCTACATAGTGAGACCCTGTCTCACATACAACATAACCCCATGAAAGCTATTTGCTGACTATACGCCAGGTCAGGTCAGGGGTAAGAGCTTAAGTGTGACTGTGTTCAGCGTCCTTTGGCTGGACTAGAAGACAGCTTCTCCTGAGACAGTAAGCAAGGCTGCATGAGTCCCCTGTGTTAAAGGGACCAGCTTGATTGATGCTCACAACCACCAGGGAAAAGGGAAAAGCAGAACAGAACACCGAATTATCCCCTTCATACTTTAGAAGAAAAAGTGCCGAAGATTTGAGATGTAACAGGAATTTAGAGCTGTAATCATTTACTTTCTAGGGCACACTAGAGGGACATCTCAAGACGTATTCATTCCAGAATTAGTTCTCATTCCCCACAAATGAAAACAAACGGAAGAGAATGGGACCAGCTATGAAGGCAGAGCACTAGGCTAGCCTATGATGAGGGGATCCACACGCTTGACCCAGTCAGAGATAACAACTCCTTCACACCGACTGAAAGTCCACAGGGGCCTTCTACAGAGGACGAACCGCAAATCACAGCATTAAAAGAGATAAAAACCCTTCTGGGATTGGACCTCCCTGGACTGAGTCTACCAAGTTGATCACAGTCCTCGGGGGAGGACTTGTCCTGGAGGAGGTGGGTAAGGGGAGGGCGTGGGAGGGGGGAGAATAGGGGAACCCATGGCTGATATGTAGAACTGAATGGTATTGTAAAATAAAAAATATATATCACCAAAAAAAA